AACCCTAAACCCTAAGCCCAAGAGCCCAAAACCCTCAGCCCCAAGAGCCCAAGAGCCCCCCAAAAAGCACACGTTTGTCGTGTCCCATGCAGCTTGGCAGCTTGGCTGCCCTCAGACTGAGAAGCTTCCCGGATGCGGCTTCGTTGCTTGAGGATTGGTGACCACACCATGGTTTGGGGTTTAAGGGTTTAGGGGTTGAGGGTTTCGGGGTTGAGGGTTTAGGGCTTTGGGTTTAGGGTTGTAGGGTTTTGGGTTGAGGGTTTAGGCTTTTGAGTTTAGGTTTTAGGGCTTACGGTTTAGGGTCTAGGGTTTGGCTGCAGAACCTTACTGCACCCTTGTATAAAGATCGGGTTGGGGGTGGGCTCCGGGCTCAGATTGAGCTTTACGCCAAAGGGGCGCAACTCAAAAAGCGGAAGGACCGAAGAGGGGACTCTGCTTCCCAGAGAACCCAATATCCCTTAATTAAGGAATATACCTTAAATTATGGGGGCCTGAATATTATGATTTAAGGTATATTCCTTAATTAAAGCCCTCATCTTTCAACCTGATTAGCTCTTGTGCCACGGCCTCCTCAGCATTGGCCCAAGGGGAGATCCTATGCGCAGCCTCCTTCAGGGCAGTGTTAGCGTTGGCCATGGCGATGCCACAGCCAGCAATTTGGAGCGTTTCAATGTCGCTGACCCCATCACCAAAGGCCAGGAGGTCTTCCGCTCTGAATGGCGAAGGCCTGTTTATCCCAAGAGACTTCATGGAGACCGTGGTGCTCGGGGGAAGGGGTAAGACCTCCAGCTCAACAAAGACCTACTGAAGCCTTTTGGCTAAGATTCGAGCCATGCCCTCTGCATCCTCCGACGCCACCGAACAAACCTCGAGCGTGCTGTCGTCCTCAATACCATCCTGCAAGCTGTCGCGTGCAAAGGAGCTCTTCGGGTCCGCGTGTTGCCTCATCCACTCGTCGGACTCTTTAACGCTCGTGCGTCCGACCTTCACATGGATCTTGCCACACAGAAACAACCAGAGAGAGCCCAATACCCCTTGATTAAGGAATATACCTTAAATCATGGGGGCCTTAATATTATGATTTAAGCTATATTCCTTCATTAAGGGGTATTGGGCTCTTGGCATCTTTTGGCAACCAAACTCTGGTGCCTTCCTCCTCAACAGCCTGCGCAGCCCGCTCGGAGGCTTGCTTCTGCGGTTTAGGGTTTAGGGTTTAGGGTTTAGGGTGCAAAAACTTCCTGGAATCCATCACATGGGTAGTTCTCTAAATCAGGGTCCCTTTTGGGGTAACCTGCAGTCTACACCCATGAACGGAGCACGTATGTTCATTCCCATGACATACCTTGAGGCACATCATCTTTTGGGGGTCCTTTTTATAAGGGTGCCGTACTAGGTTGGGGACCTGCAGAAGGACCCTAATTTAGAAAACTACCCACATGCGAAACAGGGCTACGAGCCGACCATCTGCATCTGCAGGCATAGTTTCAACCACCTAAGCAGGCCTAAAACCAAAACCCTACAGCTCAAACCCCAGTCGCCAAAGAAGCATGAGGTGACGTTCCAATCCAGCAAGCCAGCTACTGCAGCGAGTATGACAGGATTTTGGTGCCAAGCCCATCCCAAGCACAGGACGAGTCTCCAAGGGTCGATATGCGAGCATCAAAACCCGAAAAGGTTTGGGGTTTAGGGTTTAGGGGTTTAGGGTTTAGGGTTTAGGGTTTAGGGGAGGTCCAGGAAGGCCGGCTCTCAAGACATCTTCTCGCCTGGCGGAGCGTGTGTACGGCCGCCTCGCCCACGCGGTGCTGCCTTGGACAGGGTGGGTTTGGGCGTGAGCCATGGGAGTTTCGGGTTTGCAGCTTGAGGCTTGGGGGGTTTCGACTTTGTGGCCGAGGATTGTTGCTGGTCGCCAACAGCTAAGACTATCATCATCACCATCATCATCACCATCATCGCCGTTATCACGGACATCATTGTCATCAGTGCTATCACCATCATCACCACCATCACCGCAGCAGCAGAACATCAGACCTGTCATGGTCTCCACAACATTCCCTATGCGACTAGCGACAAATCTAGCACACTGGCACGAGCATAAAACATGAGACCACGAAAACATCACCCCCTCACCATCGTGAAGTTACGCATGTCCACCAGCATTTCACTGCTACATGTAATGAACAACCGTCAAGCTGTTCCTCGCAGAACACAGCACGCAACAACTGTAATGTTTGCAGATAGCAGCAAAAATCATAATCGTCGTAATGGCGAAAACAGCAATCAAAATCCTGATGAATCATAGCGACTCATTATGCGTCACGTAGATGAAGATTAAAACGTAACGATGATAGCACTAACACTGGTAACAATAACGGCAACAACACTAAGCATTCAAATAACAACACGGAGCTTTTAAGTGTTAGGTTTGCCCTAAACCTCGGACCCTAAAACCCGAAAGCGAACGAATCGCTGCGTGCGCCCGGGCCGCAGTCGCACCTGCGAGCCCCGCATCGGGGCACCGAGAATGGCGGACACCTTGGAGTATTTGACCTGCTGGCTGAGGTTTAGGGTTTAGGGGTTAGGGTTTAGGGCTTAGGGTTGAGGGTCCTTAGGTTTATTTTTAAAGCTCCTTGTTCCGACCGCAACATCCCTAAGGGTTTAGGGTTTAGGGCCTTGGGCTTTGAGGGCTTCTAGGGCTCCTTAAAGGCTTTACGGCGGGGTTTGTAAGTGGCATTAGAAGTGTCTTTACGCCGGTGTTGTAGTGCTTCATGTGTGGTGCAATGTTAGGGAGCAGGGATTCGGGATTAGGGTTTTGGGCTTTGGGTCTGGGGTTCTATCAAAGTCAAGGCTTCTACAAGGAATGCTGCACAGGGTTGACCAAGGGGTACCTAGGGCCTTCCTTGTCGTCAAGCACTTGGGCTTAGGGCGTTTAGATGGTTGGATGGGGGGGTAAGAGGTTCTTGAGCCGTCCGTCGTAAGATGGAAGAGTGCTGAACGAGGATGTAGGTTGTTCACAAGATTTTCTATGGCATTTGTGCGAGGCCTGGGATTTGAGCCCTCCTGATATTCAACGTTCACAGCCTGAAAGGCTTCAGCCCTATTAGAGTTACTACGGTTACATGTACTGAGGGCGTGGGTTTTTGGAGGCATTGTCCGCCTTTGAACTGCCCACAGGAGATTGCGAAGACTGCGAACTCGGAAAAAATGTCACGAAGACGCGACACAAACTCAGCCTGCCTAGAGGTTCAAACCCAAATTCCAAACCCGAAACACCAAACCCTTCTCTCCAGTGAAAGAAAAGCGTGCGTCCCTTACTTTATTTTAACTTCTCCTTAAACGGTTTAGGGTTTAAGGTTTAGGGTTTCTTTCGAGTAAGCCCACATCAAGACTTTCAAAACTCCTCGAAAACTCTCGTACAAAAGCAACTGGAAACCCCAAAACCCTGAACCCCCTTAACCGGGTTCCCTGGCCAAGAAGGACATAGCCGCCACGAGGATGCCGACGATCTGAGGGGACCAAAATGTTCGAGATACTTACGGCTGTAGAAGGGTATTTTAGGGTTCAGGATTTGGGTTTAGAGAAGACACATTGGCAGTTCTCTAATATAGGGTCCCTATCTAAGTCACCAAAATAGCGCGGCACTGTTATCAAAAGGACCCTAAAAGGGACCCTAGTTTAGAGAACTACTCACATGTCCTGAGGCCTCGGGTTTAGGGGCGCTTCCGCCGTAGGGTTTAGGGTTTCGGGTTTAGGATTAGGCTGTCCTTGCCAGTCGGAGTGCAGAAGTGTGCACTATGGAACCGCAGGCGCCCTGCTCCCTGAGCTACAGATGTAGCACAATCCCCTAGATCCTCCACACTCATGTAGGAAGGACAGCTTGGATGACAACATCCATGAGAATGATGCACGAGCTCACCAATGCTGCTAACCTTCCTGCGGAGCCCCATTTTTACGTTCAATCACCTCAGCCTCAATGCGAGCCCGCTTTTCGTACAGGATCATCCTTGTATTCATAAACTTCCTGAGCTCAACCCTAAACCCAAGGATCTTCAGCCCTGGAAAAAACCGGTTCCGGGGGCTGGGTCCCTACACCCTAAACCCTAAACCCTAAACCCCTGAACCTGACACTCTGGAGGTTTGGGTTGAGGGCCTTGGGCTGTCGTTGAAGTCCGTCCAAACCTGAACGAACCATCTCTGACCTTTCCATGCCGTTTTAACCATAAGACCTGAAGAACAGCCCGACACACGGAAGGTCGGATTGCAAGAGTTTGAGGAAGCTCGCATTGCATGGCCTTTTCGGGGCACCTCCCCTCCCAAGCCCCGGCGTGAGCAAGCCCTGACCTTGAGAGGAGGCTCGAAGCCTTCCAGTGATCTCCGAGGAGTGCGGAGCATAGGTTGAGGATGGTTAGGCCTACTTGGAGGGTCGGGGGACGTAGTCAATGGCTATTTTTTAGACTTATAAGTACGATAACCCCAATTAGGGTCCCTTTTAGGGTACTTATAAGTCTACTTATTACCTTCTTACTAAGTCTCCCGACCCTCCAAGTAGGACTAGGATTTCTATACATCGCCTGAATGGCATGGGGATCATGATGTTCCGATTTTCTAAACGGATCCAGGCCTCGGGTGCCGAAAGTTTCCTAGACAAGGCCCCTATGGTCTTAAACACCCTTAAAATCGCCATCATAACAACAGCGAAATAATCGTAATAACCATCGTCATCGTAATCAGAATCAGAATCAGAGTAACAATAACAATAGCAATCTCGATAATCATAAACATTATCATACTAATGAAACAAGAAGATGCATGATGATGATAAGAAGAAAACTGTTTTTATGAATGTAGGAGTTTGTTAGTACAGTAAAGTGGTTGGGGAGGGGTCAGAGCACCAATGACGCTCCCGTAGCTGAGCTCTTCGCAACGGCAGGGAGAAGCTGGCCCGTGATGATAAACACGCCAAGGATGAGAAGAATCTCCAACCTCTAGTCATGGCTATAATTGCTATTATGATTCTTATGATTATTAGTATGACTCTTGTTTTTTGGATGAGAAGAATTTTAGGTTTTCTTAGGGCTTCCGGTTCAGGGTTTAGGGTTTTTTTTGGGGGGTTGAGGAGGATGAGAAGAGTCTCTAACCTCTGCTTGTTGTCCAGGGATTTGTGGAGACTCTCAAGGTTTCTTCAAGTTACAGAGGTTCAAGCTCTCGAGAAAGCCTGAACAGCCCTTGCCCGAGCAGAATATACCGACAACAAGAAGGATATCCTTGCACGATTTACGGACTAACATGCTTCTGGAAGGAATCACTGGCAGCGGCGTGGGGTCTCAAGCGCCCCCCCAATGGTTTAGGGCTTTGGGTTTGAGCGGTTTTTTTTTTAAAGTGCAGTGGCC